TGCCACTTTTTGTTTTTACAAATTTTAAATCACATATATCACTGTGAATTAAATAGAGTGATTTTGTATTTCATTAAATTGATTTAAAGATTGACCCTGTTAATTTTGCCTCACACAAGTGTTGCACTTATGTTTAGAATCAATATGGAACGTGACTATACAATTCAAGTAAACTAATCTACTACAATATCATAGTTAGTATGTCCTAGCCTACCATGCTACAAACTAGAAGATTTAACTTTATTAATTTTCGACTTCACAACCTTACAATCAATTTAAATATACCATCGGAAACATAACCCTTCCAACAAACATTCCATTTTTTAGACGGAATGACTTTATCTAACTCAAACACAATACAGAAACCCCTTATTCAAAAGCAACACAAACATTATGTTCTTGCGGACTTTTAGCACATACAATACATTGTTAAGAGTCAGCTCTAAAGTTATCTTCAGAACCACCTTCCTTGATCCTTGATTTCAAAAGTTGTTGAATTTTACACGAACAACTTCTTTTCATTCTCAAGTGCTTTGAACACATTAAAAAACTCTTCATTAAAGCATACATGCCTCATAGAACCATTATTAATCCACCACAACTTTTAGGTTTGAATTCAGCATATTCACTTCAGAAATAACAGTAGCAAGATTCATCTCAAACACATCATGTGTCATGGAGTCAACTATATTTGCTTCTTTCTTATTATTCTTCTTTGGTAATCTATACTACGAAGACTTATTTTCCACTTTATCATAGTTGAAGCATTTTCCTTAAAAAGCCTTTTCTTGAAAATTCCACCTTTTAGTCCCAACTTAGTCCCTTTGCCACCAAAAGGCCAAAACTTGTTTTGTTAAGTCTTAGAATTTTGACTATTCTCCACAACATTGACTTTGGCCATGCCCAAATTAAATCACTTCTTTTCTAAACTCTTGTTAGTTTCTTTATTAACTTTTTCAATTTGAAGTCTAACAATCAATTTTTCGATGTTCATTTCCTTTCTCTTATATATTTAAGATAATTCTTGAAATCTTTCCAAATCGAAGGCAGCTTTTCAGTAATTGCAGTCACTTGGAAAGTTTCACTCAAAATCATCCCTTTAGTATGAATCTCATGAAGATTCATTTGGATTTATATCGCTTAACTGATTATAGCTTTTGAGTCTAGCATTTTATAATCTAGGAATCTGTTGACATTGAACTTCTTAGCTCTGATATCCTGACTTTTATATTTTCAGTCCAAAAACTTCTATAACTCTTTAGCTATTTTCATCGCACTGTAAATTTGTACAGTGAATCAACCAAATTGTTCTTGATATAGTTTCGGCACAGAAAATTCGAATGTTCCGCTCATCAACTGCGCTGATAGTTTGGACATCTCCCTCACCCTCATTGAGTTTCGGAGTAGTTTTAGACAAGAACCTCGCAATATTCAATGTGTTCAAATAGAACAACATTTTCTGTTGCCACCTTTTGAAATTTAAGCCATTAAATTTCTTCAATTTCTCCCCATGTTTAATCGGAATACTAACAATAGGGTTAGTTGTTGGAGCTACAATTTGACTCACAACGTGACTTGGCAATGTAGTCACAGTTTGAGCTACAACAAAACTTAGCTCTTGAGCTACAAGAAAGCCCACGACCAGATTTTTAGTAGCCACAATTTGGGTCACCTCCATGTTAGTTGCTTCAGTTGTCATTCTGAAAATCAAATAAAAATTAGTTTCTGAAACCACAATATATGAACCTATTTGTTCTTTTTCAAAATCCGTTTTAAGTTTATTAGCCAAAAATTGCAGAATAATATAATTTTATTAACTATTGTAAGAGCATAAATAGGTAATTTTATTAAAATTGTAGAATATAACGATAATTTTATGCACAAAAATCGAACGAAAATCTACAGCAATATTTCAATTGCAAATAGAAAATGGATTTACAAACTGAGACCTGTGTATTACACAGTTTTCTTAAAAAAGATTCGTCTCCTCACTGTAAGTTCTTGAGGCCACGTATTGGCGTCTGTCTCTCAGGATATAATGCAGTAGAGTCTGAGCACTAAAGTTTCTACTTCAATGAAATGAATTTGTATCAGAACAGCACTACCAAGACTTTGATAGAAATGAAAAATTTTGAACCTGTCTGAACTAATAATTATGCAGAAGAGTGCAGAATTTTTCTGATGTGAAATAATGGGAAAACAGCCTTAGTTATAGGTTTGTCCCCATGAATGGTGAGTAAATTCATCCATAAGCATGTCATTAACTCAATAATATAATGGCAATAACCATTAGAGTTTCAACAGTTTTAGAATCTAAAAAGTCAATTGCCGAAAGCAAATTAAAGACAAAACATGGGCATTCCTAAGGGGCCAATCTTTTCTTCTCTTGGTCCGACATTCATGTACGTACACAAGTTCAAGGCTCGATATACATTATTGGCCCTTGAGCCCTCGCAAATGAAGAGCGTCTCTATTGTATACATGATTATGCCCTTCCAAAGTGTAGCCATATATAAAGCAGTCTTTGTTTTCATAAACTTCCTATGTGGGACAAACATAAATATAGTTTTGCCTTCCAACATAAACCATATTCCAATGATCCACTTTGAACTCCAATTTTCAATTCACCCCTCCATCATTTTTGGCAAGTAAACATATGATTTCGATGTCTCAAAGAGAAAAACATGAATCAGCTTTAATATTCCAAATTGAACCAATGGATCCCACCTAAAATTGTGCCAAAAGTAAGTTAAAAAAAATCACAAAGCCATTTTTCCAACGATAAATTTATCTCATCTTTTATTATCATTGATCTAAAAAGTTCATCTAGGTGGTGGCTCGGCCTAGGCTCAAAGCTCAAGCAAAATGCCTTGCTTCGCGCCTAGACGCTCTTTTTTTTTCTCCAATTTTTTTTCCTTCATTTCTTTTGTCTTCCATAGACGCACTTTATCAATTTTTTTAAGTCTTTTTTCACTTTCGCTTATTATTTAGGAAAAAAAAAACTTTTCATTTGACTTTAATTTCAAGTTTTTAAAGATTTTATCTGTACAAAAGATAAAAATGACTTTACCTAAATAGTTAAATAAAATTTAAGTTATGATGTTATCTACATTATATAATTATGATCTTGAGACTCATTTTATCACAAACTTAAAAAGCATGTATGAATTTCCTATAAATTTATCAAGTAAGATTTGTCTAGTTAAAAATTGAAACTTTGAAAAATATTCTAATTTTTTGCATTTCGAAAACTTGAAAATCGTATAATTGACTAACGGTAGAAATTATTAAGTAAATATTGTATTTTATAATTTTAGATGTTTAATATGTATTATTTTAATTATTAAATAATTTTTAAAATGATTAAAAAATTAAAGTAATATTATAAATAAGAGAATACTTTTTTACTTCTAAACCTCGCATGGCCTCGGTTAAGCTCTTAAAGTTTAAAGCTTGGACTTCACTCCTAACCACGCTTTACACTTTTTAAAACATGATTTATTATAAATAAATGAGATGGTTCAACACTTGTTTTTCTTAGTTTCTCCTACAAATATTATAAAGCTATCCCGTTAATAGACGAGGCCAAAGGACAAAATTTAATTCCTAAGTCCGTTTGACATGTAATTCAAGTATATCTTACTACTTGTTCCTTAATTTGGAAAAAATCGAGAAATAAATTCAAATCCTTGTATCATAAACATTTTATAAATATAGAAAATTAAACAATTAATTAAAAACATCTATTCATGTAGCTGTGTATTCTTTAAAACCACACATTTATTCATATATTTCATACATCAATCATTGATAAACCTAAGGGCATTTTTTTTAACTCTGATATTTGTGTGAAGGGAGGGAGTGGATATGCAAGGAACATTATATTCCAAAATATTCAGATGCAGAATGTTTCCAATCCCATAATCATAGATCAGTACTACTGTGATAAAGATGAATCATGCCACAAGCAGGTACAATTTCTAGTTCCGCTCAGTTTAAAAAGCCATATTTGATTTACATATAGTCTTGGACACGCTCTTGAGTCTATTTTTCGCACTTGGTAGATGAGTATATATGTCTGATAGTGCATATCATCTATAGAAATTTGCATCTACCACAACATACACTCAAAGGAAATTAATGTACAGTTTTTTAAGCAGTTATAGCATATTTGTTAAGAAGTATTGGATGAGTCTAATGGTTCCAAAATGAAAATAACTAAAATATCGTACATTATAGTGTGCAGTCTCTATCCTATATTGCGTACAAACATGCATTTAATTTACATAAGTATGTATATTAATTATATCTAAATTTCAATACAGAAATCAGCAGTGCAAGTAATGAATGTGGTGTACAAGAATATAAGAGGCACGAGTGCTTCAGAGGTGGCTATAAAATTTAACTGCAGTGACACAGTTCCATGCAGAGCACTGATACTCGAAAATGTTTATTTAAGCCGACAGGGGAAAGGAGAAGCTGAAGCTAAATGCAGCAATATTATTGGATTATCTAATTTTGGGAGATTTGTTTCTCCAAGTTGTTGAATAGTAAACTTGATTTTTAGACTAAATAATATGGGCTTAAGGATTTTACTTATAGGCCCAAATCAATTAAAAGGCCCAACATGCCTAACATTTCAAGAAACATTATCTAGAAAAATCTATATTAATATCTAAGTAAGATATGTGGTTTTATAAAGAATATCTAGAGAATTCTAGGAAAATATCTTGATGTGTGGTCTAGGTGTCTCTAAAAAATGTGTGGACTAGAATCTTCATGTAAACACTATCGAAAGGGGTAGTGCCCTTCATTTTGTAACAGACCAAAAAGTGTGTAAAGTCTTGAAGTTGAGAAATACAAGTTTCATTTCTTCACTTCCTTCTTCCTATTAGTGTTGTCCTCTTAAAAGTTTTAGCCAATCTAAGTTAGTAAATTCATCTTTCATCCAACAAACTGGTATCAGAGCCCCAAAGTTCTTGTGAAAAATAGCAAGTGAGATGATTCCTTTTCAAGTCCCCCAACTCAACAAAGATAACTACGACAATTGGAGTATAAGGATGAAAGCATTGCTTGGGTTGCAAGATGCATGAGAGATCGTAGAGAAAGGCTACACTGAGCCACAATACGAGATTGCTCTATCCCAAGCACTAAGGGATAGTTTGAAGGATGCAAGGAAGAAGGACAAGAAGGCGCTCACCCTCATCTATCAAGCCTTAGATGAAGGCATGTTCGAGAAAGTAGCTTGTGCTACTACGAGTAAGGAAACATGGGAGATCTTGCAAAACTTCCACAAAGGAGTTGAGAAGGTGAAAAATGTTCGACTTCAAACACTTCGAGGTGAGTTTGAAGCTTTACATATGAAAGAATCGAAATCAATTTCTGATTACTTCTTTAGAGTATTAGCTATTGTGAATCAATTAAAAAGGAATCAAGAAAAGTTGAACGACACTCAAGTAATTGAGAAGATACTTAGGTCTTTAGATTCTAAATTTGACTACATAGTTGTAGCCGTTGAGGAATCTAAAGATCTAGCTAGTATGAGTGTCGATCAACTTATGGGATCTTTTCAAGCTCATGAGGAAAGATTAAGGAAGAAGGTAAAAGAAGAGTCATTAGAGCAAGCTCTTCAAACAAAGCTCACTTTGAACGAGGGTGAAGGACGGTTCAACCGTAGAAGAAGCCAAAGGGGAAGAGGATGAGGCCAAGATCGAGGAAGAAGTGCATTCTACTAGGAGGAAAGAAGACAAAGTTTATTTTTCACCATAGGTCATGGAAGAGGAAAAGGTACGAGGCAAAATGAAAGACCAAGGTATGACAAATCTCAAATTAAATGTTACAATTGTCAAAAACTTGGCCATTATGCTTCAGAATGTAGAAATATTACTAACCAAGTTGAGGAGAAAGCCAACTACGCTTGTCGGGAAAGTGAAGTGGATCCTGCACTACTGTTGGCTTACAAAGGTGAAGAGAGCGGAGAAAATAATACTTAGTATTTGGATACAGGAGCAAGCAACCACATGTGTGGAAGAAAAAAATGTTTGTGGAGCTTGATAAATCAGTAAGTGGTAACATTACTTTTGGAGATGAATCCAAGATCCCAGTGAAAGGAAAAGGTAAAATCTTGATCCACTTGAAAAATGGTACGCATCAATTTATCTCAAATGTCTATTATGTGTCTAATATGAAGAATAACATTTTAAGTTTGGGACTACTCTTAGAGAAAGGATATGGTCTTTCAATAAGAGATCAAAGAGAAAAATTGATTGCCAAAGTCCCTATGACAAGAAATAGAATGTTTGCGTTAAACATTCAAAATGATATCGCTAAATGCTTAAAAACTTTTTTTAAAGATTCATCTTGGCTTTGGCACTTGAGATTTGGGCATCTTAATTTTGGAGGCTTAAAGTTGTTCAGTAAGAAGAAAATGGTGAAAGGTTGCCTCCAATAAATCATGTGGATCAATTATGTGAAGGATGCTTAGAAGGCATTCGAGAAAAAGTTTTCCAAAAGAAGCATCTACATTAGCTAAGAAGCCGCTAGAACTTGTACACTCCGATATTTGTGGGCCAATTAATCCAAGCTCTCTCGGTAAGAACAATTATTTTGTTCTTTTTATTGATGATTTTAGTAGAAAAACTTGGGTCTATTTTCTCAAACAAAAATTGGAAGTTTTTGAAACGTTTAAGAAGTTTAAAGCTCTTGTTGAAAAAAAAAATGATATAGTATAAAAGCCTTGAGATCGGATAAAGGAGGAGAGTTCACCTCCAAAAAGTTTGAGAAATATTGTGAGAAGAATGGAATTCGTCGCCCATTGACGGTTCCATATTCTCCACAACAAAATGGAGTAGCCGAAAGAAATAACAAATCCATTCTTAACATGGTCCGGTGCATGCTCAAAAGTAAGAGATTGCCCAAAGAACTTTGGGCTGAAACTATTAATTGCGTCGTGTATCTGTTTAACCAATCGCCTTCTAGAAGAGTGTGGAATAAGACACCACAAGAAGCATGGAGTGGAAGAAAGCCCAGCATATCTCACTTACGAGTATTTGGGAGCATTGCATATGCTCATGTACCAGATCAAAAGCAGTCCAAGTTAGATGACAAAAGTGAAAGGTATGTCTTTATCGGTTATGACACTCGCTCTAAAGGCTACAAGTTGTATAATCCAAACAAGGAGAAGATCATCATAAATAGAGATGTCGAGTTTGATGAAGAAGGAGTTTGGGATTGGGGTGTCCAAGCAGAAGACTATGACTTCTTACCATTATTTGATGAAGAAGAATAAGAGAATGGAGAGCAGCAACAGATTATCAGTCCACCTCTATCACCTACTCATGGAGATGCTTCTCCATCATCTCCACAAGGAGAAAGTTCAAGCGAAAAGACACCACGGATGAGGAGCCTACAAGAGCTATATGAGGTAACGGAAAATCAAAATGATCTCACACTTTTGTCTTTTTACCGATTGTGAACCAATAGGGTATGAAGAAGCAGCGCAAAATAAAAGATGGAGAGATGCCATGGATGAAGAGATTAAGGCTATTGAGAAAAATGACACGTGGGAGCTGACAACTCTTCCTAAAGGAAAGAGAGCAATCGGAGTTAAGTGGGTGTATAAGGCAAAGAAGAACGCTAAAAGAGACGTAGAAAGATACAAAGCAAGATTGGTTACCAAAGGCTACAACCAATGGTCGAGAATCGATTATTAAGAGGTATTTGCTCCTGTTGCTCGTTTAGAAATCATAAGATTAATTATCTCTTTTACAACGCAAAATAAGTGGAAGATATTTCAAATGGACGTGAAATCGGCTTTTTTGAATGGTTATCTCGAAGAAGAAATTTATGTAGAGCAACCAATGGGATATAAAATAAAAGGATATAAAGGTAAAGTTTTAAAACTAAAAAAGGCTTTATATGGGTTAAAATAGGCGCCAAGGGCATGGAATGGTAGAATTGATAAGTATTTTCTAGAAAATGACTTTACAAAATGCTCTCACGAGTATGCCCTTTATACAAAGGTAAATGAGAAAGGAGATATTTTGCTTGTTTGTTTGTATGTAGATGATCTTATATTCACAGGAAATAATCAAAGTATGATCACTGAGTTTAAAAAGGCCATGGCTCAAGAATTCGAGATGACGGATATCGGCCTCATGGCCTACTATCTTGGAATTGAGGTAAAGCAAATGGAAGATTGCATCTTTATCTCACAAGCAGGATATGCAAAAGAAATTCAATATAGAGGATTACAAGCCTGTATGCACCCCCATCAAATGCAGAACCAAGTTGTCGAAGAATGATGAAGGTGAAAAAGTAAACCCAACAATTTTTAAGAGTCTTGTTGGAAGTCTAAGTACTTGACGTGCACAGAACCGGATATCCTTTTTGGAGTTGGGCTCATCAGTCGCTATATGGAGACACCTACCATGACCCATATGAAAACTGCAAAGAGAATTCTTCGCTACATCAAAGGCACGCCTGATTATGGCTTAGTCTATATATCATCTAATGAATTCAAACTTTTTGGATATAGTGATAGCGATTGGGATGGAGATAGCGATGATAAAAAAAAGTACGATTGGATATGTGTTTTACTTGGGCGACACAGCTTTCACTTGGAGCTCAAAGAAGCAATCGATCGTAGCACTATCTAACTGTGAAACTGAATATGTTGCAGCTATATCAAGTGTCTACCATCGATTTGGCTTAGAAACTTGTTGAAGACGCTTGGAGTTTCACAAGAAGAACCAACCGAAATCCATGTTGATAATAAATCGGCATTGGTATTGGCAAAGAACCCAGTATTCCATGACAAAAGCAAGCACATTGATAAAAGATATCATTTTATAAGAAAAAGTATTGCAAAGAAAGAAGTGTAGCTGAAATATGTAACCTCCCAGAAGTAGATCGTCGACATTCTCACTAAGCCACTCAAGCATGATGTGTTCCGCAAGTTAAGAACTCTACTTGTAGTAGCAAAATCAAGTTTAAGGGGGGATGTTGAATAGTAAACTTGATTTTTAGACTAAATAAATGGGCTTAAGGATTTTACTTATAGGCTCAAATCAATTAAAAGGCCCAACATGCCTAGCATTTCTAGAAATATTATCTAGAAAAATCTATATAAATATCTAAGTAAGATATGTGGTTTTATAAAGAATATCTGGAGAATTCTAGGAAAATATCTTGATGTGTGGTCTAGGTGTCTCTAGAAAATGTATCGACTAGAATCTTCATGTAAACACTATATAAAGGGTAGTGCCCTCCATTTTGTAATAAGTCAAAAAGTATGTAAAGTCTTGAAATTGAGAAATACAAGTTTCCTTTTTTCACTTCATTCTTCCTATTAGTGTTTTCCTCTTAAAAGCCTTAGCCAATCCAAGTTAGTAAACTCGTCTTTCCTCCAACACAAGTTGCTTGAGTTTTAACAACTAAGGGGACTGTCAAGAATTTCTTGGACTGATATTGCAATTTTTTTTGGGTAAATATTGATAGTTATTACGATGTAGCTTCTTAATCGACTTGAACGTTAACATGGACAGAAAGACAAAAACTGTAAAAAAAAAAAGGAATGAGTAAAAGAAAGTGACATACTTGCATTATGGGTACTTCGAATCAGTTTCTCTTCCTAATAAGTCAAGTTTTCACCTAAAATAAGTTTTAACTTCATATTTTATTAATATCATAAGATGTGAAAAATCGTAATGCTAATTGTTAATCTTTAGAAAATCTCAATGTTGTTAATAATTTTACTTTGGAATCCACTTGAAGATCTTTCACAAACTAAAAAGAAAAAGAAAATAATTTTCTTCAATTAAAATGTTTTTTATTCAAAATATGTTCAACATTTTCATTCTTTAAACTATCGTATCATTGACACTTCATATATAATGAAGGTTTCTTAATTTTTTAAACGTGTTCTTCGTCTTAATAAGGGTGCCCATAGAAATTTTTGTACATATATCTACTATATAGGGATGTCAAAATGTGTAGGCTGGGTTAACTTGTCATTTTTAATCTTGTTAGCTCTTACAAATAGGGATGGCAATTTGAACCGTCAAAATCGAAAATCGCGATTAATCGAACCGAATGAAGCAAAAAAACCAAACCGATAGTGCAATAGAGCGAATATGGTATTTGATCTCAATGGCCCGGTTCGGGGCTAGGCGGGTATGTTATTTGCGTCGTCGCCCCGCCCCGAACTAATTACCTTTTAAAAAAATAATAATAATTGGATTTATTGTTTTATTTTTGTTATTCATGCACTTTCTTTTATTGCTAATTTTTTCCTCTTTTGAGTGTAGAAAATTCTGCTCCTTCATCATAATCCGAATTTTGTGCAAGGTTTGTTGACCAGGATGTTGACGAAGATGTACTTTTTTTTGTTTAAATCTTCAGTTAAGACCATTATGGATTATTACTCTACTTACATTTCTTATATACTATATAGGAATCAGCTTTGAGTTTTGACGTACACTAGTAAGAGTTGTGGAAAAAAATAAAGATTGAATATGAATTGAGATTAGAGTTTTTGAGTTATTGAGTAGAAATCAAGTTCGATGCATAAAGATATTGTTTAGTATTGTTATCTTGATAATATTGTTTGTTAAATTCGGATTTTGCATTTGAAAATTGGGATATTATTTGCATTTTCATTTGGGATATTGTTTTTCTACATTGACTTAGTATTATGTTTTTTGTTTTCATTGACTTTTTTTTATAGATTGGTTTTTTTATTTGATCGAAGGATCCATAAAAAATAATATATTTACGTGGTTATTAAAAACTCAAAGCGAGCCAAACCGAATTGAATCGACTTATGTGGTTATGGTGCGATTATGGTATGGCCAAAAAATTGGTGGTTCAGTGATGATTTTGGCTGAACCGAACCATTGCCATCTCTAGACAAGCAAGTGGAATAAAAAGATGGTAAGGCTCATATAAAGATCGTGGGCCATTCACCATACACAAGCTAGTTACAGGTTATCAATAAGATGCATATGGGCAAAAGGATGAAACATAATTCATAACCAAATTAGTTAGAAGATAGCCAAAAAGAGATGCCAGCTATCATTACGTAGACAAAACCAAACTACCCAAACGCTTGGAGGGTAATTTATAAATACCCTCTCATTTGAAGACGAATTCATGCAATTCAAATATTTTTTTCTCTCCAATAGCTATTTTCTCTCTTTGTTCTAGTTGCAGCATCTAGACTAGTGAATTTAGTAGGTGAAATTCATTGTTAGGTGGATGATTTGTTGATTGTATTTATGTTTGATCTTCAATTTTAATTGTTTTATCAATAAAATCGTTTGAATCGATTTTTACCACTCAAAAAATCTCATTTATATATTTACAAATTACACCATTAAAAAGTTTGTGAAATATTAAAAAAAAAACACTTTTCAAATAGAATTTACTAGTAATATTAAGCCCTTCTTTGGTGAAAATTAAAATCTAGATTTTAATTTAAGTCAAACTTAACAATTAATTTTATCCACAATTTTTCAACCACACATTTTAACAACTTTTATCAAAATATGCTAAACGTATGATTTTAGTCTCCACCAAACAGGGGCATTGTCGAACCAAAGAAGCATGCCTTGCAAGTCTTGCCGTAATCTAGCAAGGTTAAGATGGTGCGCGAAAGAAGTGAAGGCCTAAGAAGTGCGCCTCAAATAAGTGACCCTCCCATCCAAATTGTCTTCAGGCAAGCGAATATATATGGGAACTGGTGAATAAAGTGCCATTATAACATAATCAGTTAGTAAAAAATCGATAAAAGCTAGCATCTGTAATTCTTTAAATAAAATGACTTAATTACTCTAATGTTCATAGAAAATTCTATAAATGTTCCCTCATTTGAAGAAGAAATCATGCATTCCAAATGTTTCCCTCTCAAAATGCAATTTTTTCTCTTCTTACTCCTGTTTAAGAATTAAAATTAGTGAGTTTAGGAAGCAAAAGTCAAAACTAGGTGAGTATGATTTATTTATCTATTTCTGTTATCAACAAATTGGATCCATCTATGGAGAACATGAGCAAAGTAGACTACAAATTTCTATGCTTTAGTCAAGAAACAACTAAAATCAAAAAGAAATGAAAACAAGCAACGAGAAATCAAGAATTGGCTGCAGCATCGAAGAACCAGAATCTTGGGAGTAGTAGTGTTCCAATTAATAAATGAGAAAATTCAATAGCAAAGAGCATCCAAAAATGGCTAAAGATCTAAAAGCACTAATGACAGAATACGCTGCTCTGTGTGCAAAAATACGGAGCTTGGAAGGTAGGCACACGTGATAAGGTTGAACCTAGATTTGAAACTTCAAGAGGATAAGATAGTCGTGATCTAGGTAGTAATAGCAAGTGAATGTTTTCATTGCATATTCTTAGACAATGAAAGTACAAAAAAGTGTTATACAATAAAGTATGTGACCAGATGCAAAAGAGAAATCCTCTAATTTTTTGTGTCAGATCCTCACCGTTTTACTAAAGGAGGCCCGATCCTTCGTGGACAAGCCACTCTATTTGTAAAAATAGAAGAGGAGCCCAGGGCATATCAATGATACATAAACTTTGACATCGTAAAAGGTAAATCCACATATGATGAAATCCTTGGACAACCTGCCCTGTAGCAGGCAAACATAATCTTCATCATTCGCATGTGAAATACTCCATTAATAAATATGAATATCTTTAAAGTACAATCAATGAATCTTGTGCAGGAACTGTAAAAGCAACAAAAAGGGATGCCTGAGAGCTCATAGGAATGTTGTTGCTATAGTTGAAACAAATAACCCTGGGGATAAACTAGAAATTAATGACTCCATCAACCATCACATAACTGAGTGCACATTTAGGGATGGCAACGGGCGAATCAGGATGGAGGCAACCTTCTCCGTCGCGTCGAGTAATTTTTCGCCCCACTACCCATTTAACACTAGATGGGGTGGGGCCCTTGTCTCGTTTACTACCCATTTTTTTAGTTTTTGCCGCCATTCATTAAAATGAGACAATAATATATTTATCAAATTTTTAATTAATTTATTTATTTTTAAAAGTTAAATTATTCAAATGTATTTGATAAACTAAGACTTTCATTGTTTGTCATATTTCTTAGATAATTTTAATTGCCATATTCTATTAGAACTAATAAAATTTCGTGGAGTTTTTCATTTAAGTACTGAATTCTTAAAAAAAAAAAAAAAAGTTAAATGAGACGGGGCATAGCGGGGCCTTTATTACCTGTACCCGCCCTGTAGCCAACCCAAATACATGATTAAGCAAGTAATCCTTATCCTGTTCGAGATGTGGTCCCACGAGTATTGGGTTTGACAGGCTTTTTGCCATCTCTAGTGCACAGTAGATCGATAGCGGTCGAAGAGCTAGAAAGCTTGTTTGTTAGCTCAAAAGATTTGAGCAAAGCTCTAAAATTTGACAAAGTTCGATGAACCTATGAAAGGCTTGCTAAACAAATTCCAGCCATGAACCTAGATGTTTTGCTTGGAAACATGCGGACATGATAGGGATGAATCCAAAAGTTGTCTGTCACGCCTTGAAGCTCGATCATAAGATCAAGATTAAGACACAAAAGCGCCATCTAATGAGCATCGAATAATACGAAGTACTAAAAAGTGAGGTAGATAACTACTGGAGAATGGCTTTATTCTTAAAGCTTGCTACCCAGATTGGGTATGTAATTCAATCATAGTACAAAATAGAACAAAAAATGACGAACCTGTCAAGATTTTATGAACTTGAATAATGCTTATCCAAAAGACAGCTTTCCAATCTCTAGAATTGATCAGTTGATGGATGATAATCCGAGACATGAGTTGTTAAGCTTTATGGATACATATTCAAGATATAACCAAATCTCTATATATGGGCCCAAGGAGGAACATGTCGCATTCATGAGAGATTGAAGACTATAATGTTATAAAATAAAGTCGTTTGCGCTAAAAAAAATATGGAGATAACATATCAAAAGTTAGTGAATAAAATGTTCGCAGACCAAATCAAGAAAATGATGGAGGTATACATCGATGATATGCATATCAAAAGCCTTCGGGTAGAATACCACCTGCAACACTTGAAAGAGGCTTTTAATGTATTATTAAAATACAGGATGAAACTCAATCAACTAAAATGTGCGTTCGGAGTAAAATTTGGAAAGTTGCTCGATTATATGGTCAATCAGGAAGGTATTCAACAAACCCCTGACAAAATTCAAGTCCTCATTAATATGCGGTCTCCATATAAACCAAAACAAGTATAAAGCCTAACTGACAACTCTACAATAAAATCAACTAAAGTCAATGCTTTGATTGAAGATCTTCCTTTATAGCTTAGCTCAAATTGTTCTAATTATACATCACATTTCATTAGTCATCCCGATGCATCAGGCTTTTGCACGAACCCCTGACAAAATTCAAGTCCTCATTTATATGCGGTCTCCATATAAACCAAAACAAGTGTAAAGCCTAACTGACAACTCTACAATAAAATTAACTAATGTCAATGCTTTGATTGCATATCTTCCTTTATAGCTTAGCTCAAATTGTCCCAATTCTATTGCCCATTTCATTAGTCATCTCGATCCATCAGGCTTTTGCAAACTTGTTTGAGTACTTCAATGCTATGGCTTGGAAATAAGGTCACAACTTTCGTGACGCCTAAGGAAAGGGCTAGCTTTTTCATATCTAGATATCTTGCCTCTACTCTTTACAAGGCTTTACTTACATAGTAGATTTGGTAAATGTTGTTGCCCCTTCTCTTTTATTAGTACCAAGTTGATTGTCACCTTGGATACTACTAAATATAGTAGTATCTTTTCCCTATATTTGGGTTTAGCTAATAGAGTTGCTTTCTCTAGGGAATCTTTGCGGGCTTGGAATGCCTATTTGCATTCGCTATTCCAGTCTAACTTTTTTCCTCCTTTCAGCACTTGGAAGAAAAGAGAACATTTGTCCATTGCAAGTACCTTATCAAAGCTGGAAAGTCCGAATGATGCGGAGTTGTTTAAACTATTCCTGTAGAATTGCTACCAAAATCATTAGTTGGCCCCAAAAAAGAGATCTTATGTATATATGATAAAACTTCGTGGATGCAAGACATGGTTTCCTATTTGAGAGATGAAGTACTTTCTGAGGATAAAAATTAAACAATGAATGAGAGCTATTAGATACGCATTGCATGGTGACATCTTATTCAAACGAAGGTACGCCGTCTCTTTACTAAGATGCATAAGTGAGGATAAAGCTAGTAGACACTTCTTAGTACAAAAGACCTTGAAACAAGGATATCGTTGGCCTAATATGAGAAATGATAAAATAAACTTTGCCAGGAAATGTAGAAAATGTTAAACATTCGCACCTATCCCACACCAACCTATATAAGAGTTTGTAACCACCAATGGCCCCTAGCCCTTTGCCAGATGAAGAATCGATTCTACAGGATCACTTTCAAGGAAAGATCCAATATAAAACTCATGATAGTAGCAGTGGATTATTTCATTAAGTGGGTAGAAGTTGAACCTCTTCTAAACATTACTGAGGCTAACACTTCTAAATTCATATGGAAAAACATTATATGCTGATTTGAAGTACCCAACTGATGCGAACCACGTAGCAACATTGATTATAAAACCCACGACTAGATTGTTAGAACCTCTAGAAAAGTCAATTAAGAGGTTTGAGAGTTTGAACCCAAAATCAATAAACCAAAAAATCCAACAAGATCAAAGCTTGAAAGACCCTTTGATTACACGATTAAAGACCCTCACCTGGATTGTAGAACGCCACAAGATTGTAATTCTTAATAAGTTCCAATTGTTCAATGAAGAACGATGTGAAGAAAGCAAATTGCCTCTATTTATTGAATTCTATCAAAATAATGTTGTGTTATGTTTTACAATGAAAATAAACCTATTTATATGTAGAAAATCTAAAAAACTAATTCTAATAGGAATAGAACTCTAATCCTAGTTTAAAACGGAATTAAAGATTATAAGAATATTGTCTATAATAGAATTCTAATGAAATAAGGAAAGTTCGCTCGAAAAAGGAAAATTCTGAGCAACTATGCGACCGCATAGTTGTTATTTTGGTCTTCGACTTTTGTTGCTTGTATCATGTTCATCCAATTTACTTTGACTCTCGACTCCAACATGAAAGTTGCCTCGTTTTGCATCTCAAACAATGTTTTTTCAATTGTTTCTTGAACAAACAATCTCATCGCTTATTTTATTCGTTTTGCCCTCGATTGCGTCATCGTCCCGCCTTCAACTATCAACGGGTCTCTCTCCACACTTGTCTTCTTCGAGCTTAACTCTTGGATCACATCACCAACACAATAATTTCAGATAACAGGACACAATTCCAAGGGAAGAAGCTGAAAGCAATGTGTTAGAAGTTAGGTATCTACAGACATTTCTCCACTCCATATTACCCTCAAGGCAACGGACAAGTGGATTCTGTCAATAAAACACTAAAAAATATCCAAAAGAGGAAACTCGATTCGATGAAGGGAGTATGGGCTAACTAACTGCCACAGATCCTATGGGCATACCGAATACCACTATAACAACCGTCACCGGAAAAACCCATTCTCTCTAGCCTACGGGGTGGAGGCCATGATACAAGTAGAAATTGGTGTTATTTCGGCAAGAAGGATAGGATAGGATAGGATATGACGAAGAACAAAACAAAGAGGCTATGAATATGAGCATACACCTCTTAGAGGAAAAGCGAGATGACTCTCAAGTTAAGCTCAAAGCATATTAGAAAAGGATGGAAAGATACATAAATCGAGGATTCGCAAGAAAAACTTTAAGGTAGGAGAATTAATACTAAAGAAAGTATTTGTTGCAGACAAAGAAAATGAGTTCAAGCTTGACCAGAAATGGGAAGATCTATACACTGTAATCAAAGTTAAGAAAGCAGGAACATATAAGCTCGCAAAAAAGGACGATGAACCCCCTTAACATCCTTCGAATGGCATGTATCATAGGAAGTACTATCAATAAAGTCGAGATCAATTCTTGACATGCGGACTCTATAAAGTAAATATTATACACAAAAGTTCGTTTATGAATTCCTATTGTGTGAAGCCAACCAATTTGGTTAGTTATTTACTATGCAAGCTGAAAATAGAGTTGAGTAATACTTGCAAAGCAAGAAGTATAATAAAGTAAAAATTCGCATTAACGAAAAGGATAGCTACAAGGCTAGTGATACTCGCTAAAAACTATATCTATTGCATAGTCAAAAGGCTTAAAGAAATAGGTTTGGCATAGATTTGAGTGACAAAAAAGTTTCATTGTTCATCTCTTAGTAGCTATAATTTTAAGAGAACTGGTTGCATGACCATGCACCAGAAATGTCTCCTACAGTCACACATGTAGAGTTTAATCACCAAGTTCTAGATTGGTTTATTCGCTCTACGGTCGAGAACAGGCACTTAAGCATGACAATGAATTTTACTCTGATATATGCAAGAAAATCTGGTTGAAAACTTCCCAAATAGCAGTCTCAATTGTATAAAACCTAAGAAATGCAGTCCATTTTTGTTATTCTCCCCTTTTCTTGTGATGTTCCAAGTTAGAAGCAGCTATCCAAGGCCAAATTTTGAAAAGTGGAACATCATTGCAATAATTCCTACTAGCTATACCTTATATGAGAACTAGTTGCCACATTAACACTGAGAAGTTTTTATCCTACACACTGAAGACAGAAGATCAAGAATGCATTGCATCATCCAAGATTAGAAATGAACAACCTCGGATACGAGGTAATTTCTTGCTTCTAAACACAAATCGAGCAACTATCCGGCATTACAATTTCTCTACTGCTTAACCATGTGATAAAGAGTAATACATAATAAAACACATTCATATACAAAATGTTTGACATTAAGAAGCAGCTAGGAGAGACCGAATTCAACACAAATTGTAGCAAACTGCTGTAAAAGCAAGTCCCAAAAAGCCTAAAAAGGCTAAAACACGCAAACTAAGTACATAATCCCGACGTGCAGGGATTGACCAAAATACAGCAAAACAAACAGTAGCTTGTGCAACCAAAACAAGATCTCAACTTCGTCCTTTCGATCTAAAATGGTCAAAAGAAATCAACCAAAACAAGCAGCAGTAGCTTGTGCATCAACTTAACTAATCGTTTTGTTGCTTCCAATCTATACATGCTTCGCAGATTGTTTTTAAGAACACCACTCCTTAAACCAAAACTGTCTCCCAAATGAAGTTGTCATCTATGTACTAAATCAGCGTTTTTGCTTCTGAGGAACAAAACGAATTCCTTGCTTTCCAAGTTCGAATTGCTCGACCTTTCCATCGTCTAGAGCAATTGAAACAATTGATGTGCCCTCAATGACTTCTATTACAGTTCCCCTATGCCTGGAATATAAGAAATAAACAGATTTTAGCATCCATAAACCAATATTTTTTCAAAGCAAGAGTTTTAGGTTTAAAGACATGGGAATTATCAAATTTGAATAGGAATTGTATCCAAATTCCAAGGCCCCGAATCCATGCCTCCAAAAGTAAAATAACGAACCTTGTAAAATTGACAGCATATTTCCAGACCTCTCAATCAACCATCTTTGAGATCTTATTTTCTATGAACAAATTTCTCTAGTAATAATATCTATCGACAGTGGAAAGAGAAACTCACCAGGAGTTGTTGGATGGCCGATGAATTTCCACTATTTTCCCAGCAGCATCTTTTCCCAATTTCTGCAATATCCAGTTAGCATCCATGATCTCATTCATCCTATCGTCATCATACTGTTGTGATGTCTCTTCAACACCCTCTGTCAATGCTCTATCCTCAAATGTTGCTGGTCTTCTCCTTTTCGATCTTTGACCCTTGACAGAAGTCATCTCGTCCTTCCCAGGAAGGGACAATGCATTTTGGTCTCCATTGTTTGAATTCGTTGGAATTTTGAACTTTAAATGAGATTTTCGATCCATTGGCAGAGACTCTAAGATTTTTGATTCTTTGGCAGAAGACCCATCCTCTTCATACTTCATTTTACTGTATTTGTTTCTCCTGCTAGCTGAGACGTCAAATGCACCATCTTCAATGCTTCGTTTTCCTAGTAAAGAACGAGTATTCAGTGGAGAAACTGATTCATATAAATCTGCAAATTTTCCTCTACTAAGCTTTGAACTGATGTTAGAGACTTCTGCAAAATTTTCTCCACTAAACTGATAGGAACCTTTCACTTGATCAGCACTATCTATCTTACGTCCTGCAATGTCCAGATTTAAAACTGCGCGTTGATAAAAATAAAATAAAAAAAGACAATTTTATATCCCAAATTAGCAAGCAATACCTGTTATATCCCCGAACTTAGTTTCAGAATCTGGCTGGTCAATGTACTTGTTGACTTTCAGATGAGCCATATCTTCATTGCCTACTGAACACACAAAAAAAAACACTAAAGTACCATAAGTGATGTATTAATTGGCCACTGCATCCTGGGATGTTTTATCTACGTATGAATAAAAACAACAATTTCTTCATGGTGTAATAGTCCCTCAACATAAACGTTAATTCCAAAAAGGTCAGCAGATCCCATTTATAACTAAAATTTTTAAAATTAGGTAACATTCATTAAAAACTTGAGCTTTAAAGAGTTCAAAAATCTACTATAGAGAGTCACACCTACCATCACGACTCAGCTTTTGTAGACTACAGCTGTGATTCCTTAATAGCATTTTAGCCACTGATTGAAGAATGTGTTGCTTTTCAAGAAAAGTAAAATAAATGAATATAAACAGAGATGCACCAATTCATATCCCCAACATTCCTATCTCTTCTCATTCCAAATTGAAGTGAATGAGGACAGCAAATAACAACTGGCAATGAAGTATATACTCAGCAAGGATAAAGATCTATGGCACTCCTGAGGAACGTCAAGGTGAAGCCTTTCCAGCTAGCTACACAAGTGCACTGCTAACATGGGAATGATTTCTTGTAGAGTGAAACAAATCCACAGTTCATTTCAAGTTTAATGCAACAATTTCATTATATAACTCTTTTCAAGAAACAACGGTCATCCATCAATAAGAAAAGGAAGCTGAAACTGATTTGAAACTTCAGAAAGATCTGATCTTTAGACAGAACTCCCGTATAGTTTCACAAATTCCCTGGAATTCAAAATCTCCAGAATTTTGATCCATAAAATGCCAATATATTTCCCTGCAAAACAATGAAGTTGCCTTTGAAGCAAATAAACACCTACATTTTGCAATTTCCAATTTTTTTACGATTTCCTGCCTAAACCTCACTTCCCACCAAATCAATTGGCCCTTACCAACCAACCACGTTTCATGATAATCTCAAAGGAAACAAAAAAAGAAAAAGGTTTACAAATGCAAGGAATATGTGTGCGTATGTGTACATGTATAAATTGAGATAATATACCATTAGATGAAGTCAACTCTTGCCCTTTACTAAAGCTTGCGCCTTCGGATGTTGGAGGACTAGTTATATTTCTACTTCGTCCGCCCAAATGTATAATAAGCTTTGGACCTTTTGCGGTCTTGAACATACTAGTGTTATTTCCAACATCCTCGTTACTCAAACCATGAGGCTTGGCACTCTTTATTTTTATTGTTCTAGATGCTCTATCCCTGTTGCTTGCAGCAACCTCTTCAGTAAATTTGTGTTTCGAGACCCCTTCCTCATTAAATGAAGATATCCCTTCAGCCAAACTTCCAGTGGCAGGAGATGAGAGACTATTGGGTTCTTCATAAAACTGCATTACTTCATTCTTATCACCAGTACTGCAGCCAAACAATGGACTCTTTTTCTTACCATACTTCTTATTTTCAGCCTTTTTTCCATATATTTTACTCTTTTTGGGTGATTTCTCGCTAAACCCTTTAAGAGAAAGTTTTAGAGAACGGCTCCATTCGTTCTTTGAAGGTCCAATCTCATCATCATCTGAAAAGGGTGAAATATCGAAAATTTCCTCCTGAGTCGGCAACCCAGCAGCAGCCCTCAAGCTAGCAATCTCGTGCTTATCAGCTTCATCTCTCCGTCTCCAAAGCTCATGGACAGCCTCCTCAAGATTCCTGACCTGGTAAGTGGAAATAGATTAATAAATGAGACCGACATATGAATTTTAAATATATAATCAAACCTATCATGCAAGAAAGCACACCTGGTGGCATTCTCCCCGACATGTTGGACACACATACTGGAGGTTTCCATCTACTTGAAATTGCATGTACTTTGCATCACTGGAAAATAGTAAAATCTAAAAATCTAAAACAAAGAGCTCCCTACTAAGTTAAAAGTTCGACATTTAGCTTTGTGAATCGGACAAGACAAATGAACTACAACCAACAAGAAGAATAATCAGCAATGTAACGCAATGACTGTGATTTTTGCACACACCTGTACAGGAAAGTTGGAAGTACAAACGCTCAAGAGTTGTAAGTTTAATTTGCAACATTGTTTTACCATTTTTGGCTAATTAAAACACTCAAGTGGTGACTTGTTAAACCTACTATTAGATCAAAATACATCACAGTGGGGCTTGAGGCATGATATAAGAATCAGATGCAAGACTTAATAACATTAAAACACAAAAATCAGCATATATTTTGGTTCTTACTTTCCTTTTATGAATCAAAAATGATCTGCAATTTATCATAAACCGATCAACATTTAATCCAAGAGCGGGAACAAGAAAATTCACCACTACTTTCTTCTAGATTTCCATGACTTCACTCACCCTAACAGTAATTCAACACAATGAGATACCAATTACAAGCCGACGGATTTCTGGCTTCTACCTAACATTCATTATTAATAGTCCAGACCAGTGAGCACCATAGCAGTATTCCCAATCCAATAACTAACTAGTGTTTAATCCACAAAAGTAGTTGGGGGGAAAAAAATCGTAAATAACGTAATAAGATGTTAGTAAAAACAGAACATGATGTGACGGTGCTGAACTTCAAACTAAAGAACCCTAAGAGTTTAAAACTCAATTTAAGATAAATCAAAATATTAAAAATTTCAACTCTTCTCATGGAAATACAAAGTGAAACACTTAAAAATGAAATCTAACATACATCATCCTCCAAGGAAAGAACACAATAGAGTAGTACTAGATTTAAGAAAGGAGATGTAGAAAAACCTGATCCCATCGCAGGGGCAATGCACCCAGCGTTGGCAGATGTCACAGCAAACCATAGGGGTTGACTCAGAATCTCTATAGACCTGCAGTTTACAGGCCAAAAATGTAATCAACTTTTACTGCTTCAACAATAAATGTACTACTTCGCTGCTCTTACAATCAGGCTTGGATGTAACTTTTTGTTAATGCACAGAAGAGAAAAATGAAATTGACAACTATCAAGTGTTGATGAGCATACATAAATAAAACCTTTAGATAAATCAACTTACAAGAATATTGTTAATGAACTAGTAATCACAAAAGTAGAACATCAAAAGCAGAAAGCAAGATAATACAAATTAACATAAATGGTCAAGGCACTAAATCATACCTTCAAACAAACAGGGCAGTAGTTTCCCTTTACGAACAACCTTCCACAAGCATCACAACAAGTGTACCCCAAAAACCACCTGCAGCATTTCAAATTCAAGATATTAAAGATTATAGATGAGGGAAACTTTTTCCTTCTCTAGAATCAAAAGAAAAAAATACACGAGAAAACAACCTCCTCTATTTTGTAATAAATGCAAATTAATATTATACACAATGTCCTTATCTTCAAAAATTTCAGACTACTTTCTATTGATTTAGTAGATATATCCACAAGAATACTCCGGACTTGTTACAATAAAGCAGCGTATAAAGACCTTCCAAATCAATTCTGGAGAATGTCCAGAGGTAAAACCAATAACTGGCAAATCCAGATTATAAGTATAATTCTATATTAACCATACAAAATAATTCCAAATAAACCTTTGGTAAAAGACAATATTGCAAATTACCATGTATCATAACAAATCATTCAGTTAAAGGCTTTAAATAAACATTATAAGGTGATCATTTTAAAATGAGATCTGCACTGTCAAACCAGGTGTAACTTTAGTGCAGCTGCACGTCGAAATAATAAAAAGGAGTTCCATGCAAACAACAAAACTAAGATGCTAGATAATAGGTGGAAAGTTCTATAGTCCATAAAAAGTAGTTGATAAAATTATAACAACAATTTCCAAAAAATAAACATATCATGGAACATATAGGGAAAGAGAAGTTCCAAATCAGTACCAAAGATTCATACCTTACACTTAAGCCATTTCCAGGAACAGAAGAACCACAGCTATGACACTTTGTATGCTTGGGACACAAATAGGGCCCATGGCTGACATTCTGCATATTACAAAAGTAAAGCACATGGACTAGATCAACATTGGACATAATCGCAGTGCAGGAATAAGGAATCTACACACCTTATGGGGAGGCTGCTGACAGTAACAATGGTATGCACCATCGCACCTTTTACAGAACATAAACTTATTTGGATCCCCAGTTCGACGGCAGACCTAGGGTGATAACAAAATACATCAAGGTGAGAACAAGAACTAAAAAATGCACTTATCATTGATCTCCAAAATAATTAATATCATTTAAGAGTTCCACCTTCCAAGTTCTCTGTGTATACTTTCGCTACTAATTACATGCAAGAGAGTATTTGTTTCGTCCATCTTTTGATATCAGTGAATAATGCATAACTTATTTTCAGTTATATCATATAAACCCTTGCAGTATATTCTTCAAAATACTATTTAAGATCTTACTTTTTCAAATAAGGAACTTCAATGAGTAGTCCATTAGTTGCATTCATTTTAAAGCAAAAGCTTCTCCTATACATTTGTCAACAAAGGAGAGAATGTTCACCCACACTGATACCAAATAACTGTCTTATATTATGGCCTATACAATGTAGTTTGAGAATGCAAATTTCTTATAGCTTAAGATAGGCATCAATATTTACCTCACATATTCGGCAGGAGGGGCATGTCCACGAACTCCAGTGAAAAAGATCTGCAACCAAACATTCGTTACATAAAGTACAATAAATATTCAAAAAATTACTGGGACACACATATAGTACCTCTATTTTGAGACCAAGATTTCAAGCAGCTCCCATGATACTTCTTGCCACAATTATTACAAGAGAGCATCTTCCTTGCCCTTTCACTTTCTTCATTTTCGCCAGAAAAACATAGCCGACACATTACTTTGGCAATTGATTGATTTTGCTCTTCTCCTGCAGTATCCTTCACAGAAGCCTGCTCGATGAATTAAGTCAGTATGTGATGGCAACTAGTAGCAAGATAGATCAGTTATTCATTGTCAAAGGTAGAGATATATAGCATAAGATAAAAAAAGAAAAGATTTTGATTATAGCAATTTATGACAGAGACAACACACATCACAATATGAACTGACAAACATTGTATCAATTGTTCTCTCTAGGCAGGGGACAAATTAAGAAGTTAAAACATAATGATTACATGCCATTAATACAATGTAAGCCCAATATAGTTTTTATCCTTGTTCCTTACAAAAATATAATCAATTTGAGTGGAATTTTTCACGCTTTTCCATAAATCTAAGTGTAGTAACCAAACTTGATTCCTTATTGGCTTGAATAGCTCAAGATCATTTATTTTCGATTCCTTATGCAAGGAATTGCAAATTTCTCCAAAAAGTTTTCCTATTTATCACAACTATGTGCATTTTACATATTGTCATGGACTTAAGCAGTGATATGCTAAAATTGTGAAGCCATTGCTGTTGTGATTGAAGGATTCACATTAAAAAGGAATGGTGAAAAAGGGATTCTGGTAGCCGACCTCAACTTTATTGGTAACAAAGTTTGTTTGTTTTTGTAGTCAAAAAAGTATCAAATACGTCTCATTAAAATTACATGGTTGTCTACAAAGAGCGGATCAAATAGTGGTGGTATATATAAATGATTTCCCAATCTGGAAAATGGAATTTGATGATGAATAAATACAATAGTGGCCCTAATTAACTAATAGCTTCCATGCATAAACACTATTTTAAAAATTATCTAAAGCTTAAGCCTTAAGGAACCAACCTATGGCTATGGCTATCTTGATGCCCAATCTCTGGAACTAAAGGTATGCTAAGGAAAGCGTCTTGAATCTTTTATATCGAGTATTGTTTTTCAATGCTAACTCCTCTAGCTAAGTCTTATGGTAGCTAAGATGGAGCTAGTCCATCGTGTCATTTTTGAACCTTGCATTAGTCACTTCAGTTTTTAAATCTATTTCT